AAAAAAAAACAAAATGGCGTGGCGTCGGTAGCCTTCTTTTTGGCGTACCCTAGACCGTCTTCGAACGCGTTTCCTTCGGGACTCGTTTACAGGACTGACCGTACGATCCCTTTTTCCCGACCGCACCCCCGCACCACCTTTTTTTTTCATGTAATTGATGGGACAATGGTGTCATTGACACCCATGACGTCACTATGGGGGACCTTTTTTTTTTGGTCACCAGCCATGCCCTCAGCCCTCATGAATCCTTATTGAAGACTTTTTTTTTGGTCACCAGGGTGGCCTAATGCATGAATCTCCAGTACGGTAATCGGGCTCCAAATTCGGCATTTTCAAATGGCTTGTACGGTAATACGCGTTTGAAAAGTTGGCCGGCCACCTTGGTTTGGACCTAGATTCTAGTATGCAAAGCCAAGACGAGGAATTCGCGAGTTCAAAATGCCAAACGCCCACTGGCGGCTAAATTATAACTACACTTTAACTAGTAAAATTTGACACTTATTTTAATTGTGATTGTGACTTAGTTTGTTTAGTTCTACTCAGCTTTTGTAAGCCTTTAAACAAATAGAATCATATTGACAAGTGTGTAGTATTGTCTTACTGAATGGGCCAGTGTACAAATTTGCTATAGGCATTCTTCTAAACAACCCGCATCAGAGATGTTTTAACAAAAAAAAATCATGTGCAAAAACCTTATTACGAAAAAATTGTCTCGATTCTGTGCGGCTCTAAATGGGCCGTTGCCGTCAAGTTTAGTTCAGTCTCTGATATTTTTTAGCCATGAGTGCTTCTTTAAGAAGGTAGTTAAGCGTTCGTTAACAAGTGGCCAAGATAAGATCTACCTATATAATAAAGCTGTATCTTAGTTCTAAGTTAAGACGTCATCAGTTATTCAACAGCTCAGATATTTTAAATTTGGGACGCGTTCGATGGTATACCGTTAGAACTTACTTAATTATTTTCTGCAGTATTGTATGGCAAAACAGATTTAAATTTTATTTGTTATTGACTTGTATTCTTTCTTTTCTCAATTCAGTGCTTTTTAGGTATTTCGCTCGCGTCATCGTGTGCGAGGCGTTCTTTTAATCGTTGGATATTCTATAAAACTTCAAAATTAAGTACCAAGTGCATCATGTAAAAAAATTGTTAGGCTCTGCGCGTCTTGAGCGCCACGACACCTTGTGAGCCAATATGGCGGATCGATCATCAACTGATCTCTCACCAACCGCTAGTAATTGCAAACAATTTGAAGAATCGATTAAAGTCAGCAACAAAAGAAACATAATCAGTCCTGGAGTAACACAAGTTGCTAAGAAGAAGCAAACTTTGTTAAAAGATTACTTACTAAGTAAAAATTCAACCAACTCATCGGAAAAAGTTCTACCTATAATTGAGGAACGAAAAACGAAGAAGACGAGATAAATGTTGACAATGTCATGAAAAGGACACGGTGGCACTGCAATATTAATTAAGTCAAGGATTAAGCACCATGAAATGGAAAAATACAATGAGGAACACCTTCAGGCAACAACTGTTAAAATAGAAGAGTGGATAGGGCGGACCACTGGTTATCTCAACAGTTCGTCCAAAATACTCAATCACACAAACTAAGTTCACTGAATTCTTTGAAACTCTGGACTATACGTTTATTGCGGGTGGAGACTACAATGCCAAACACCCATGGTGAGGTTCAAGGACATTGACTCCCAACCCGAAAGGTCGTCAACTGTATGCAACCATGCAAGCCAAAAATTATTTATACTGGTGAACCCACTGGTTAACAGACAGAATGAAACAACCGGACATCATTGATTTTGCAACGGTTAAAGGCATTAAGAGGCTCACTTCACTGATAAGTCATAAAGTGCCTAGACTTATCTTCAGACCACTCTCCAGTTATCATCGCACTTAACACTAAAATCACAGTAAAAGAAAATTATACCAGACTTCAAACCAAGCAAACTGACTGGAATGAGTGCAGCAATTTCATAAGCAATAATTTAGATTGTAGCGTATCTCTCAAAACTCCTCAAGAATTGGAAACAAATCGAAAATTTAATTTACTCACTCAGAGCGCCATCCTCTTCACCAGTCATTTGCTCTACACTAAATTAAAATAACTCAAAACTAAACATCCAGATACACCATACAATATAAAGAAGAAAATCCTTGAAAAGCAGAAACTAAGGTGGCACAACTCCAGCTCTGATAAAAGAAATCTTAACAACGCATCGAAAGAACTTTTATTGTAACTTTAGCAAATCACGAAAATTCAAACAACCAAAGAATTCTTTGACGCTACAAAAAATGGTAAATATTTGCTATGGAAAGCAAATCGAAAAGTTAAACAAACAAAATTTCATAATTTCCTCGAATCTTATCTCAAAGACAGAACTTTCCAAGGTGAAACGTATGAAAGTACTACAAAACTATACCCTTTCAGAGCTTCCGTTCCACAGGGAAGCGGTTCAAGCCGGGTTCCCATGAGTCCGAAATGCCGAATGCGGAAAACCTTCCGACCAATCAGAAGTTTGCGGGATGCGTTAGCTCCGCCCATCCGCAGAAGTTCCCAAATTTTAATATTTTCTGCATGGCGTGCGAAATGTTCAGCGGCGTCTAATCGACCGTCTTTCATTTTGATGCCTTTGTTTCCTTCTTTTTAGAACGTACAAAGACAAAAGCAGATTTAAATTTTGGTTTCGAACGTTCAGCAAATGGGTTTAAAATTTGGAGAATCCAGGTTAACGAGAATAAATCGACACACATTACATAGACTGTGCGGCGCGACGTGCCCAGCAATCGTAGTAAATGAGAAATAAATCCCTCAGAATGCTCATCTCAAATATCATGGACTTCACCTGGATCCTCGTCTAACTTGGCGTAATCATATTTGGACGAAGCACAAGCAACTAAACCTAAAGCTAAGAAAAATGTATTGGTTACTAGGAAGAAGATCCAAACTATGCCTCGAAAACAAGGTGTTACTATACAAATGCACACTCAAACCAATTTGGATGTATGGAGCCTACCTATGGGGTAACGCTTCTAAATGAAACGTCGAAATTTTTGAGAGGTCTCAATCGAAATGCCTGAGAGATATCTTAAATGCTCCCTGGATTGTCCCAAATTAATTAATCAGGCAGGACCTACAACTAAAAGCAGTTACTGAAAAAATATTCATCATTCACTGCAGATACACAAACAGACTATCAACTCATCCGAATATATTAGCAACGGATCTGCTGACAAACAACAGAACCATCATCCGATTGAAGAGATGCAAATGCCGAAGAAGAAGACGTCTTCTTTATTTTTATATCTTTAATAATCCACAATTTTAGTTAAGCTTATCTGAAGTTAACTCGTCAATTTTATTTTAGTAGGTTTCTCTTCATTGGGTGAAACTCTGACATGTTTGGTTGTGGAACATTCAGGTTCTAAGTCTATTATAAAGAATAGCTACTAAATAAAACCCAAACTTGATTTTCATAGTTGAAAATTGTTTATTTCACCCTGTATATTCTAACATCCATTTGATATCCCCGATATCGTAATAGATAGATCGTAACTTAAATGTTAAAATTCCTCGTAATTTAGTAACGTAAATAAGTAAAACGAGTCGAACGAATTTTGTATGTCATATTAAAAATTAAAAAAGAAGTTCCATTTATATGTACATGAGACTTAAGAGTATCATTTAAATTCGTTTATAATTTTTAGTTGAATCAAGTCCACCTCAATGGGGAGTGGACATCAAATGTGGAAAGGGAACAAATTTCAGTTACGGACCTTGGGCTGACAGGCAGCGAGAGCATCTATTTAAATTCTTTTATCCCCAAGATTATGTATTAATGGAAGTAAGTGGATAGTGAAGTCCAAGTCGGCACATTATTAATTCATTGGTTTTCACCAGGTTACCAAGCATCCAAGTCCTGGAGAAAAACGAGTTATGCACTCGTTTGACGTAAGGCTTGTAATGCAAAATGATTCGACTATAGATATTTTATTTACCAAAGATAAAGAAACTAATGCGGTTCATATCAATGTTGGTGCTGGCAGCTATTTAGAGGTACGCATAAAATATTGATAATTTCAAAAAACATTACGTTTTTAATATGTAAAACCGATACTTGGTAGTTGACTAGACGATTTAAGCCAGAACATATTTGCATTGCAGGTTACTATACCTTGGGTTACGAAGGAAACAGGGTACTCTACAAAAATAAACGGGCAACTGCTTCATTTAGAAGCGACAACAAGCTTGCAGTTCCGGGAGCTGGTTGAAAGTGAAACATTGGAATTTTGCATATTGTGTCACTATCCTTTGGTTTGGAACGAACATCAATTATGGGAAATTAACTTAACTGGCTGCAAAGCAACCGTGAATTTAATATTTTTCCACAAATGGTTCTTCACAGGTATATCCTTTTTTATTGTACTTCCTTATATTTTTCCATGTAATATTATAAAAATGTTGTTTACAGATCTTATAAATGATTGGGCGTCAAAAGCTCGACCAGACCTGATGCATTTTGTGCCATATACGTGGAGATTTGGATTCACTTTAAAGCATTGTGAACTGGTCACTATGATTAACCAGTACAATTGGATCGATTGCAGTAGTGCAGGACAACGAAATAGGTACAACGCTTATGTGATATTGGAAGTCTACATCGAAAGTTGGGCTTGATTTTTTTAGACTTGAAAATACCCAAGTAGCGTTATGTGCCCACTTCTTACATATGTCCTTTGACTTGCCGTTTGATGAATTTTTGCCTGATTCAGTTCCTATTAATTTGGCAATACAGGTAAGCTTTTAATGATTGGTTATTTTCACATTCTGTACCCATTTAACCCTTCAATTAACAGTATGTAATAACGTATTTTTAGGGAGAAAGCATCGATTTAAGTCTTTTTATACCTGAATTTCATACCAGCAGAAATGTTATTCTTTCTCTTGATAAACATGCGAAAGTATTATCTAAGGATGGGTCTACGACCAAAAAGACTGAAATAATACCAAAGTGGAGAAACGTGTGTCAAAATGCCGCCGGATGGGTCGATTTTTGGTGGATTCCAATCGGTAAATGATACTATTTTAATGTATTAAAAAAGTTAAACTTTTGTCGATTTGTTATTAAAGAAACGCTATATTTATTGAAAAACTCTATTTTCATTACCTAAAATTGTGCATTTTCAGGGGCCATAAATATCACATATAGTTTTCATCCTTGTCCACCACTGGGACCTCAGCCGCAGGCTGACATATCGACACCTGTAAAAGAGGAAATCTTGTTGTCGCCAATGCGATTTCCTCATCACCGAAAGTCTCGCAAACGGTAAGGAAACTTAATTAAATTTAAACGGTTTATCAGACTTTCAATTGTAGTTCACTGGAGCGAAATCAAAGGTTTGATCCCACGTCATTAAAGCCAGATGTAGTGAGTGTAGAGCTGGAAATAGGACCATCAGTTATTTTATTATATGGAACCGCTTTGAAAAACTTTATGAACTTCAAGGTAATATCGTTAGTGACATAGGACAAGGGACCTTAATAATAGTATTAGACATACAGGAAGGTACGAAATTAGCCTGCAGACAAAAGGGTCCAAGATTGTTACAACGTTTCATTTGCGAGATATAAGGTTTCAACATTTTTCGCCAATGTAAATGTCGATTCATATTTATCAACGAAAACCTAAATTTCAATGCAGGCAAGTTGACTTGCCAAAACGATGTACCACTTGACTCTCATCCCCATTTAAGATGCTAAGGGTGACATTAGGAGGTTGAGTTCACCTACAAGAAACCAACCCCATTGAGTTCACCTACAAGAAAGCTAAAAATATTCATCTAAAGTGTGCACCCTTACAAATAAAATTGACGTGTTTCCGATTTTTCACATTTTAAACTGCAAGAGAGATATTAAGGGCGGGAAGTTTTCATATTGACACCGCGTATACTACGTATGTAAATATAAAACAAAATCTAAATTGTATGTTTTTATTTCACAAAATAAAGCCGATGATATTAAATTGGGTATTTACAAAAAGAGAATTATAGAACATAAAGTAAATGTGGTTCCATCCTCTTGACCTCACTGTATAATTTAAAATTAACATTGGTGTTAGCTTAAGAATTTGTTTTAAGGAAAATATATTCGGAGAAGATCAGTCTTTCACTGATATGCAGCAAACGCAAGTGAGTGAGAGTGGTTCAAGTGCTGACTTGAAAACAGAAGACAGTAGTGCAAATATTCCATTAGAACTTAGGGACGACTTCGATCATCGGTATTATCGGCCTTTAGAAGTGGATGTGTCCATAATAATGCACGATGTGCAAGGACATCTGTTGAGGGTATTTAATTTAATGTAAGTTGATTGGATGCATACTCTACCTGGCATTTGCAGACCTGCACAGAAAAAGACCCACCCTGCCCCATCATTTTAGTGGAGAGATTTGGCTTTGAAATGAAGAAACGATATGACCAGACTGAATTACAATTACTTTTGAGCCCGGCTGTGTTACTAGTTTCCGATAATGTACTCAGATCCACCAAAGATAGGCATTTAAGTCAAGGAAAACTTACGCTAAGTTCATTGCAAGTAGGTTCATCGTCTATCGACAATTATCGAAATATTTTGAACACATTATCTATATTTTACAGATTCGTGGACATGCGATGTTTTCCGATGTTGGTCAATCTCTTGACCAGGACACCGTCGAATATGCCTGGCTAGTGGAAATTCAACTAGGAAAATTAAGCGGCAAACTGACTACTCCTCAGCTCTATTCCATATTGACTAGTTTAGAAACTCTATTGTTATTAGTCGTCGACGAAGAGAACGAGTTGAACTCTCCATCAGATGATGCAGTGTTATATCAACCGGTGGTGAAGAAAAAAGAACCAAGCACACAGAACGTTCATGTACAGCATGTTCAGCAAGGTATGTTTGTACTAAAAATACTTTTTTTCGACCTCAGGAAATTACAATTTATGACAATTTGGCAATTACAAGCAAATATGTTTCGAAACATGTAACCTTGCCTAAAAAACCGTTGTTATGCAGTTAGTGCTGGAGTATGTAGGAAATTTCAAGATCGAAATATCACATTTTACTTCACGTATCTCGTTTCCTCTAGTTTTTATTGTAAGTTAATCCTCAACTCTTCACTACTTTGTACTAATAACGATCACATATGCAAATATGCATATATTTCTGATAGTAATTGTCTTATAGACTCTTCATACATCTTGTTTTTCTTCTTGTTTGAGTACTGTGTTCGTTCGGCAACACCGCAAGTCAAGGTCCCACTGCCCTGACGTCACGAGAACAATTTCGCTGTGAGAATGAGAGAAAGCCGGCTTATTCTAGTTTTGTGTTATCTTAGCGGCTCGGCCTACATACTGGTGGCGTCAAAGCAGTTGGGAACTTGACTTGAGGTGCTGCCGGTTACCGATTGTTAGCTACCATTCTGGCTATTATTACTTTATTGACTGCCGTGCGAAATAAGAATCTGGTGGACTTATGGAACCAATCTTTAACCAGGATGTTCTTCTGCTTGACCCTTTTCTTCCTAATATTTTCCCGTTTATTACGCGGTGAAGAATTCCGTATCTTTCTGGATATCGTATCACGTGAGCAAAGTATTCAAGTTTATGGGTCTTAATGGTTTTCATTATTTCTGTATCTTTGCCCAAATGCAGCAAGACGTCTTCATTTCGGACCTTGTCGACGCAGCTAATGCGTAGTATTCTCCGGTACACCCACATTTCGAAAGCTTTGAGCTTCTTGAGTAGTGTGTCTGCCAATGTCCACCCGACGAATCCATACAGCAGTATTGTAAATACAAGTATGTAGCACTTTACCAGTCTAACCTTCAGTTTCTGGCTAATACTTCGACTTCAAAATGCTTTTTTCATTTGAAAGAACACATCTCTAGGCTTCTCTACACGGATTCTAACCTCTTTGCTCATATTCCAGTTGCCGTTTATATTTCATCCGAGATAGACGATACTGTTGATCTTTTCAAGTAGAATTCCATTTGCTGTAATAGCTGTTTGATGCACATGAACTTGCTGTATATCATATATTATGCTAATATGGTGAATATCATATATTTAGTTTTTTGGTGTTGAGCTTTAGGCCATATTCATCGCAGACGATGGACACACTGTCGACTAGGATTTGCAGATCTTATTAAAAAACTTCTCGCAAGCAGCACTGTATCATCTGCATATCTTAGGCTATTTGTATTTACGCCATTAGTCTTGATTCGACTATCAATGTTCTCCAGTGCATTCCTGAAAGTGAGCCCTGAATATCAAGTAAAAGGAAGTGGCGACATGACATGCATCGTTGTCGCACCTCTCTTCGTATTTCTACCTCCTCTGAAACGTTCTTCGAAGTCAGTAAAGCCTGTGTCCATGCATCCGTTCATACGATGTTATTTCTATGGTGATACGAAAGTGTTTCTATTGGTTGGAGATCGGTCAATTCGTCCTCCGTCGTACAAATCTAGTCGTCGCACAATAGCAAGTCGACACTAGCAAGTCGCACAGGCTTAAAGGTTTTCAAAACAAAAACTTGTTTGATTGAATTAAATGTGTTTGATGATGCCTAGGTCTTTGTCATCAATGCCTTCTTCTTCGCAGCCTATGTTCATCCACTCCTGAATGTAGGCCTTTTCCAATTATCTCCATGCCTGTCTGTTTCGGGCAGTCTGCATCCATCCCTCTTCTGCTATCCCTTGGAAGTCATCCCGCGATCTCTTTGAGGGTCTTCCCACGCCTTCTTTGTTCATTTGGAATGATCCTGCCTTGCAACATGATGTTGTACTCTCAAAGCCGTAGCATTCGCTCGAAGTAGTTGAGCGCGGGGGTGACGGACCCGGGGTTCCGCGTTCAATCGCTTCGTCTCTTTCTATTTGGGGGACCTTAGAGTCCTCGATTTCGTTGTCCCTGGCGTGGTCGGATTCCCCACCAAAATTCCGGTT